GAGTAATATATCGATAATATCGGTGTATAAAAATACAATTAAAATTTATACTGACCTTTCTTAATAAATTCCACTAATATGTTTATATATTTAAAGTTCTCTTTCCTTTAGATAACTATATGAATCATAACCATACTGTTCTCAGTTGACATTGACCGTTCTTGTTTAATTCGCGTAAGTTGTTCTCCGATCATACCGATATGAATAATACATCAAAAACAGAAGTATCGCATCGTCATAAAAGTAAAACCCTATCTGTTTTTATCTACATCAATTGATAGAAAAATATGAGTTCTTCGTCTATTACATTAATAAGTTATTTCGTTGTTACGAAGGAAAGATGGGCCTTATATGTTCTACGATTGTCACTTGTAATGAATTTACTTCATTTAGTTATTAAAATATTGCCCAAAACAATAATATCTCAAGTTTATGCAGAACAGATTGTGATTGGTAGACATCAATTCCATTTTTGACCGAATCGATTAACTGTAGATTCTAGATTTTAAAAAAAATGATGGGAAAGTCTCTTCTACTAGTCATTATATGATGTTGGAAAGAAAGAAAAATATTGACTGACATCAATAAATCATTATAGCGTATCATTCTATCAGCTGAGTTAAGTTTCTAGGTTGTATGAAGATTGACAGAGAAGGTAGTCTCTACCTGTTGGCTCAGATCAATAGTACTGTATATTTACCGATTAAAGAGAATATTCGGACTAAACATTCAATCTCACTAAAAGATATATTCTATATGCATCGTAAAACGAGAAATTTAGGTTTGGAAGCATTAAAGAATTACATTAAAATCTGCTGACCATACAAGAAAATAAAAAGTTGACTGAGATTGAGTCTCTGTTATTTGTTGATTATGACAGAAAGTTTTAAAATAGTTAATAGATATTTCTTTATTGGTATCGCTTAATTATAGGAAATCCTTCATCATAATTCTATATAAAATGTATCTAATATTTCGATGATCTTAAAATATTTGTTCATTATCTGAGTAATAAAATTAATTTAATGAGTTCTAAAAGAAAAACGAAATCCAAAACTTTTTTTGAATATATTCTCATCCTAGTTACTTACTTCAATAATAAGCAAGAAAAGCAAGAAAATAAAATGCTTTCATACAGAAAAAAAGAAAGAAGAAAATGGAATGAAAGTAGAATATCTTAGGTCATGATTCGAGTTTTTCCTGAATGGGTCGGATTAAAGCAGTGATCAACTCAGACTGCCTGCTCTCAGAGTAAATATTGATACGATTTACCAGATGCATATATTTCCTTCCTTCGAAAATAGTAAATTCTTCGTATATGTGTATATCATTAGCTTATATATAGACTATGAAAAATACGACACTACGTGCATTGTTCACTGATAAATTAAATGGGCAGTAGTATTTCACAGAGAGGCTTCGAATAAACGAACGTTTCACCGCTCTTTAGGAATAATACGTTGTTCACAATACAGTAACACATAAAGAATGATGAAGGACATTGATCAATAAAGATGATAAACTAAGGTTAAATATCACGTATAACAACCAATTTCAGCCTATCTAGCGGAGTAGAGTAGTATCCAATGGGCTCCATTGGAAACGTTATAGTTCAGTGGTCTTAACAACATAGATATTTTGCTTTAGAAATCAATAAAATTCTCACATAAAATATATTATTATGTTGTATTTTTTTGCAAAATATTATCAATATTGAAGTAGAAATAATGATATTATCAAATGTTCTAAATGACACCGGTCATTTTTCATCCACATAATACGAAGTTCACTTGAAAAGTGAAATATTTATATGATTACAAGTAACACTTGTCTGTGGACTCGTTCAGCTCTTTCTCGTAGAGATAGTGCATTCTGAAGCTTAGCTTTTGCAGAATTTTGCTCAAATGAAACTTATGAAAAGAAAAGTGAAACGGTATTATGAGCGAGATTAACACATAATTTTCAACAAAGTCAAAAAACACTGTTTCCATGAAAATCTGTGCTGTAAAGAGTCGCTCTCTGACTCATCTACTTGAATTTAACTAAGAAAGGTTTATCATCTTGCATGGTAAGCTAGGAATATATTTGATCCTTATCAAACTTTAATTATTGACTTTATAACAATTTCATGGTGGACAAACTATGAGTCATCGGACTTTAACTTTCAAGCTTGTATTCAGAGATTGAAGACATCATATCTTTAAGTAGCTCTCATGTAATTTTTAAAATCGTTTTTCTCGTTCAGTATCTCTTATGAGATGCTACATTACAGTCTTCCCCTACAAAGAGGTAACTGAGATGTTATCGTTTAGCAATAATTTCATATTTGGATCGTTTGTAAAGATAAAATCTAATTCAAACGGTATTCTTATTTATAGGTTTCAATCCGAATATTTCAAAACGACAGAATAGACTTCGCATGCATCTTTGGCTTATTAAAAGAATCAAATTAAATGTTAAAAACTCTCTCGAACTAAACAATATATTATTTATGAAACTGTCAATGAGATTTTTAGTAATTGAATCTAAACAAAAGGTCATCCAACAATCCGCATCCAGCTATGCACAATAGCTAATACGTTGGATACACTTATCACTACATAGAGACATGGAAATTAGCATTGCTGAATTCTTACGTCAAAACTTGTGTTATTTTTTTATTATTTATCAAGCATTGTCACCAATTTCAGTAGAGGATTAGCGACGCTTACGTCGTGTTACTTGTAAATATAGACTTAAACATCAGGATAAGAAATATTACAATAGTTAACGATTCTTCAGTTAACAGAAATAAGTTAGAATGGTATATACCTTTTTAACAAATTTAATTAATCACTCATTAATTATCATGGGGAGATAGGAGTGACATTTCGTTTTGTAAATATATTTGTAGAGTTGAATGATGTGTCAATACTCGTGTTATTCTCTGAACTACATAAATTGAGAAGGAAAAAACGAAAGAATTTGACAGATACTCAATTAAAGTTTCTTAAAGACGAGCAATATATAAATCATCTGTTATGTGATAAAAAAAAGGCAGTATAATAATCAGTATCTTCAAGTCTTTTGCTAAACGATAATCTTCAATTTTCTATATTTCTGTAGCGCTTGAGCAACAGTTCAACGAACAAAAGTTGACGGCCATTGTGGAAGAGTTGAGAGAAAAGCTGTTGGAAAGATTTTATAATAAAGGAAGCAAAGCTTGCTTAAAATAAGCTCGAACTCTCATATGTCAAAGTGTAATTGAGAAGAATTATATTACAATAGTAATGTTACACGCAATTTATGATTAAATAATTAAGTCATACATATGCAAAAGAAAAGAGTATATTGTGACGGAGCGACTCGCTCGTTCTTTCTTTATTCAACGAATGACCTAAGTCATGCTTCACGAATAGAAAAGCTGTTAGCGTAGTACGTATGGGATTAAAATGTGAAACACAATGTAACCCCCATTACTAATAAACGAAAGTATTAACAAACCGATCCAACTTGACGGTGCATGTGCTTGATATTCTGTTTGATTCGACAGGCCAAATTACAGCATTACTTCCTGATTACTTTTCACTTTGCCTATAAATATCAAGTTTTCATTGATGTGGAGGCGGAGCGGGTGCAAATTTCTACCCTTATATACTTCAACACTTCTCTTTTAGATCGTGTTTCACAGAAAGATAAGACCAAAACTACATCAAAAATAGAAAAGAATGATCGGGGTGTATCCACACGTATGTATGTGCTTTTCGGTCGCGAACATGAGAAGCGGTGACAGGTGAAGCCCATCACATAAATCAAGGTCGATCCTAACGGAAAAAACGTGTCATCATTGGTGTAGTAATCGGATAGTTTTGAAGTTTCGAATAAGTCGAACATAGAATCTATTTATTGTTCTCATCTAAAGACATTCTCAATAAAATATGTAATGAATGCATATAATATACTATTCTTCAGTGGTTTCGCTTTTTTGTCTGTGTTTTAGATCGAAAATGTCAGAGGCACTCCACAGTGTAATTGAGTTCTTTTCCGTTGAACTATGGCAAGAAGTTTTTGATTATTTCAATTCAAATGACTTATGGTACTCATATTGTGATTTGAATAAAAGAATTAATCATTGATCAGACAATATTACATTTAAATTTTCAAAAGAAAGGCAATTATGATTATTGTATGAAAAATATTTTACCATCAATAAATGCTGCTAATATCCGATCATTAAAATTACAAAAATCCAATGAAATAAAACTTTTTTCTCTATCTATTCTCTTAATTCATTGATTCAACTTCGTTTACTATCATCAGCTTCTATGAATTCTTTTAATGATAATTCATTTCAATTCTGGAATCAACTTTCATCTTTGAAATATCTACAATCATTGAAAATTATGTTTCGGGGCTATTCTGGGTGTGGTTATTGCATTGAAGAAAAGGAATATATTATTCGTTCGATATTTAATAAAGATTTTTGTCCCTTATTAAAATCTTTTACCATCGAAAATTGTAGTAGGAGAAGTTGGAAGTCCACAATTCCTTCGTTAATAACAACAACTAAAGCAACAAATATAGAATATGTGCCGATTGACTCGTTGGCTTTTATTGATTTGATTAAATTACTTTCTGCTTTACAAAATGTTACATCATTTCGCTCAGATTACGAGTTAAGTTATGATAATAAACAACAGCAAAACATGACAATTATAATGCATTGCTATCTAAGTGTATTTGACTGCATCTACAATTATCAGAAGATATGACATTTAAACACGTCGAATATTTATTAGAACATACACCAAATTTACAGGATTTATTTTTGTGGAGTTGGTATCATTTACTTAGTGAAAAAAAAATGGAAATCGATACTATCAGTCCAATGTTCGAAATTGTTAAAACTTGTATTAATATGTACTGGGCGCCCATTGGAGATGATTACTTCCATCAAGCATCAGATGATTTTCAACAAGAGTGTGGAACAATCCCGTTTTGGGTTGAACGAAATGTTACAATTACAGATGATGAAGATTATTCGGCTCACGATTATCGTTCTGATATTATAATTCGATTTAATATTAAAAAACCGTGTTTCATACAAAAATTTCTTGTTTTGTAACGTAAAAATAGTAGTTTTAAGGGTGTGAGTGTGTGTGGGGTGGGTGGGGTGTGGGTGTGGGTGCGATGGTTTGCTGGTTAATGACAAAGTGAGGACTCCTCACACCCAAACGAACACACCCACCCACACCCACATCCTCCATTTCGTAGTGAATATATCTGAGAGCTGCATCGAAAATAACTCTCCAATCTATAGTGAAAGCACATAAGGGAGCTATTTTTATATAGTGTTGTCGTTAGCCAGCATAAGATTTCACTATATGGCGACTATGAATCCACTTCGATAGTGCCACCATGATCAGCGAAAGAATCACTATAGTCATACATGATTGTAAGATTTCATTTAATCAAAATGTTAGCGCGAAGTAGCAACTTTATATGCAGATATTACTATCATTTGATGCTCAGCATATTTTGAAACTCAATGATAACATTACTGTGGTAGAGGAGACTCGGTACTTTGATATCCTCAAAGTTGTCTCAGGTAAGGTAAAATAGTATATCGTTCCTCTAGACATTTCAGTCGATGGTTAAGCGAATCGGACAGCGACGAGCGTTACTTGTGTCTTTTAGAGTGTAGAACCAAACAAAGACAGTACAAGCCGTAAAAAATAGTTTCATATACTGTAGCATTAGACTTAGTCCCGTTTCATGTATAGTTTTTGAAAATACTATGATGAACAAGCATGAATATACAAATCAAGTTAACTACAGAAATTTAATGCGATATAAAACATACCTATTGAGAGACTGAATTTTATCATAGCTCAGTGTCTTTGACAACTTCTGATCTTTTTTCAGTGAAAAAATGATTTCAGTAATCTTACGACGAGAATAATGATGGATTAACAGAAAAGAAGACAACGTCGAAAAAGAAATTGATCAAAACTATGTGAAACAAAGTTTTTCGACCTTATACTGACATTTTTGGTGTTCAATTTCCGGGATTTGTGATTATTTTATTAAGTGGTAATTATCGAAAGGAGAAAGTAATCATATTTCATAGTCATACGAATTATGAAACTTATGCAAATATGGAATTATTGGTTCAAATGCTATTATGATGAACGAAGGCGATCAATCACGCCACTACCCATCTTGAGGTTACAAATATCACCCTGGCAAAAATATGTTGGGCGACCATTGGACATCGATACTTCATATATTGGGCCACAGTTTGACATACAGCATCCTGCTTCAAGCACATCTATTAAAAATATTCATAGAAATATCTAGTAAGAAAATATGAGTTTTTTATTAGTCACCCGGATCTTTGTCGCTTCGATGTGTCATACATCTAGTACAATTGGCAATACGTGTCAAACACGGTTGAGGAGATTTCAAATTGAGTGAACAATGAGCACAATTGGACAAATATTGGACTGGTGCCTCTCGAATAGATGCCGGTCGCACTAAAAATTTAACATTTTTTTTTCATTAAACTGTTACCAATGTTCTATTTTGTTAGCTCTATATGTAGAACGAAAGAGACGTGCAGTCAAATATATAAAGAGAACAAAATTCTATCATAGAACAGAAAATATAGAATAACTGGGCTATGCAGTGATTAAAGAGAAAATGAAAAAAGACTACCTTCGTGGGAATCGAACTAGCACCTCCTGCTATCCTGGCAGTTGTCCTAAGTCAATTAGACTAGAAGGCGCAATAGAATATTAGTTTAGCGTTAGAGTGTACTATCACTGAGACTAACATATATACGCCTCTTTTATCCAGGAAATATGGGTGGAGATGAAAAGGAAGAACTTCGAAGATATCCTTCTTCCGAAAGCATAGCATTTTTCTCACCTGTTCCAACATAAAAGATGAAGCCGAGAAGAATTGGTAGAAATAAACGCATTACTGAAGAATATATTGAAATGATTTATATATGGCAACATACAGGCACGTGTTATATACTATATACGCGAGATATTGGATTTAATTTCAAAACTAATTGATTTTCAATTTTGTATGAAAGATCACTTTTCATTTGTCCTTACATCGGATTAGTTGTTTTTCAAGATAGCATTTTTCTCAATAACAGAGGACTGAATATGAGGTTTGCCAATCAATGAAAGCTAGATCAACCTAAGATTAAATTTCAGTATCTCTTTGATCTATAGGTCTAATTCACGCCATGCTGAAATAATAGCAATGAATACTATTATCGATGGTTTGTTTTGATTTCGAGTTATAATAATATTAATGAAGGTCCATGTGACTAAGGTGCACCAAAGTCAATAATCGCGCAGAAAACAAATTGATTTTATTATTATATGGTTGGATAGAGCCGGATAAGTAGATCATGAATACCACCTTGTAAATGTTTCTCAGCTTACGTTTTGACTGAGAAATTTTCAAATTACAAAATGCGCCAGAAAAGTGAATATATCACTTTTTTTCGAGAAAACTCAAAATTTACCTACTTTAACAATCTTCTAGGTTTATAAAAACTATCACCATCAGATTCAGCATGAAAATCTGAATCTACTGATGCCACTTTTACCAGTAAAAAGAATGCGATTCATGTTGGGGAGCTCTACTAGGTCACCATATAGGGTGTGGGTGTGAGTGTTACTCTGGTTCTCACTCACAACCACACCCTCAAGGTTCGTTTCCCAAGGCACTGTACAATTATTTTTTTGTAGATAAAGATACAGCATTTGCATGCGTAGTAAGATTGAGTTTTTTATGTAAACAGTATAAATAAGATTTCTCATTCCAAAATGGAGTGATTATGTTAAATTAATTAACTGGATATAAAAAGTTGAATTCAAATTCACATAATTCATGGCGTAAAAAAGCATTCGAAATTGAAAAAGTCACTATTGCATGCATGCTGTTTAAGTAAGAATTTAGAAAACTTCCAACCATTTGGGCTTCTTCAGCTATCACTCCCTCATTTTCTTTTTAACTTTTAAGAAAGAATGGGTCGAAAATCGAAAACGGTTTACTTCTAAAAAGGCATGACGACTGATCTGCTTCTATACGGTGCCCACCTTATGAAAAATTGAATGCCGTCGATCCGTGAATTGGTGGCCACTCTTCCATAACATCACCGCCCCTGTAGAAAATACATAGATTCGCTATCAAGAAAAGGCACACAACGTACTGGAAAACGTTTCGCTAAAGCTTTTAACAGTAACTTTTTAAATTAGCTTCTTCTTGCACTAATACTACAATAGGTGTCCTTTTCTTTTTAGTTTTCGTATACCATACAATTATTTCCGACCAAACTCCACAGCAATAGGCTAAAGAACATCGCCATTCGATTTAAAATTCACTCGAGTGCAAGAAGAATTTACTTGTACACGTGGGAAAGAAATCATGAACCAGCATCTCTATTTTTCTTCGGTCGTATTTCTTTTTGTGATGGCCAGCAGTTGCGTGGCCCAGGTATGTGATCCTTACACGGCCTCCAGTAATCAGTACCCCGATATTTTGATAAGTTTGAATGTTGTTCAAACAACTTCAGTCAAACTGCAGGCTACATTTCCCCTAATCAACAGCACTAAAACGATAAGCTTTCAAGAAATTCTTTTGGGCAGTACCAGCTACGGCAATCCATTTAACGCAGATGTGGCAGTTACAACTTGTCGACCAGAGACGTGCACAGGACATCGTTTTTTCTCCTGTCCTTCCCTGTCCTGTTGGCTATCTTGGTCCTGGCGAGCGTCAGAACAGGACAAAAATCTAAATCTCATCCTGTCCTATAGGACAAGGCAGGACAGGGCACCAGGACAACAGGACCGTCCTGCCCTGTGCGCGTCTCTGTTGTCCATCTCTTGTGAGTCGATTAAAAACCATGTCACTCCTTTTTAACGTTGTTTCCAGGCTTCTATATTTAAAGCTTTTTGATGATTTCCTTTCCCTCCCTGACCAAAGATTATGCCATTTTTGGCTAAGTTGTTGCTTGCAGTGTAGCGGACACCGCGACCACCGTTGGTTGGACTGAGACAAATACATATCGATTCACATGCTCAGATGGAACAAGCGCTATGCAGTCATGCCAATTCATGCAATCGAATATGGCATGTCCCACTGACAGAATGTCATTGATCGAATGCATCCAGGACCCTTTTTGGAACTATGTCGACCAGGAAGCAAATCACTATGCGCTCAGTGTTATTTGTACAGGATGTGGACCATGATAACGCACAAACATATTCTTTTAATTTACAGATTTTCGATGTCATTTCTTCTTCTGTTTTCTAATAAATACTCTAACCATCTTGCACATTTCATATCGTTCTTTCGGAAGCACAGTGCGAATTCTTCTACAGTTAGTAGAGATTATCACAACGCATCATATGTTGCACAGCTTATAACTGGGAAGCTTCATGAATAGGATTGTACGATGGTCATCTCAACTGCAGTCGGGTTCACTCTAAAAAAAACCAGCCGCATTGCCGAACCTTTTTGCGCCCCACCGATCTTAAAAAAATTTCTTAGCAAAGGTTCAGCGCGTGTATTCAGGATAAAAACCATATAAGGATTCGTGTGAGTGTGGGTGAGTGTGGGTGTGATAGAAGCAACCACAATCGTTTTCGACCTTGCTAAAGGGTCTCGTGAGGTGGCTTAATGTCTCTAGTTTGATCCCTAAAATTTTGAGAAAAATTTGAATCAATTCGAGACAATTTACTCTGTTCTATTAGAAGATATTATTAATCTCGGAATGCCAAGATCTGCAGTTCATGTTCCCGAAAAGACAATCATCAGTTGGCTTTGATTCTGTCGTATTTGTTTAAATGATTTCGAAAAATCACAACGAAATACATATATCTACACAGAACTCCGAACAATAGAAATAAATTCTAAAGTGGAAGACGATAGATATTGGCAAAAAGACGGGTGGGTGTGGGTGGTATGGATCTGTAGAAAGCTACCACGACGCGTTTCGACTATTGCTTGATGGTGTGGGCGTGGTTTAAGAGAAGACTAACACCCACACCCACGCCCTTAAGTTTGAAACAATAGAATTGATAATATATATCACACTAGTCGACGACCTTGGCTTCGATCTGTCCAGATTCTTGTTTTTCTTGAACATCAGACAAGATTCTTTTGTCATTCCTTCTGTACAAGATTCTTACCTGAAAAAACAGATTTTGTCTTTCTGGCAAGATTCTTGTTTTCTTGCAATACAAATGAATTTCATTTAGGCATCCATACGGTTGCCTCCTTTCGGTCCTATTATATTTTAATTTCAAATGACAAAAATACAAGAAAAGTACATTACATGTGCAACGATAAATATACAGTAAACTCATAACGCGTACAAAAAAATTAAGAAAAATAAAAAGAGGAACGAAAAACACTTGAACAAAACTGTTTATTTAAAAAATATATCTGTTATAGTAGGTCCGTGCCATCTAGAAAAAAATGATATAATGTTCAAACTTCTGTATATTAATAAGTATATATACGCAAAATATTTTTCTTTAAGATATAATAAGAATCATTGAAAGGAAAAGAAAAAAGATTCTTGTCTGAATTTCAAGAAATTTGAAATATCTTGTAATTCATTCCAGATTCAGATTTTTCTAATGAATCAGACTAGATTCATCTCATCTTGAACTTCAGGCAAGATTCTTTGCGAGAGGAAAAAAACAGATTCTTATTTGAATTTCAAATAATCTTGAATATCTTGCCATTCTTGCCTGATTCTTATTTATCTGAGCAATCAGACAAGATTGTGTTTTTCTTGAAAAGCAGACAAGAATCTTGCTTCTTTCCTGTACCGAAGAATCTTGTCTGGTATTTAAGAAAAACAAGAATCTGGACAGATCGAAGTCAAGATCGTCGACTAGTGTATACAGTTGAATAAAAAATTTGAACAGTTCTTGACCATTATTAGTACAAAAACCAGTTCATTCGATAGAACTATGACCGAAATATAAAGTTTTCTTTCTATACTTTTACTTTATATGAATAGTTTCAAAAGAGAAAAGTAGATAATAAGACCAGAATGAAAAGCAAACTGTTATTAACGTCATCTATAGAGTTAATCAATATGAATGGTAAAAAATCATGAATGAACATTAAATATATTTAGACAATGAGTTCTTACGAAATATTAAATCAACAATAGCACACCATTGGCTTAAACATTGCGGTCGACCATGGCCCCATGTTGATGGTCAAGAAAGTTCACCTGGCTCGCTTTTCTTCCAAAGAAGAAAATCAGATTTATTTTTCTTTGCTTCACTTGTAAATTTTGTTGTTGTTAATGCTTCTTCACGTTCACATAAAACAGTAATATTATGTAATCGATCGAGTTTTAATTTGTCATGTAAAAATTGCCTTTTAAAACTTAATGTACCAAAATAAACTGATGAATTTGATACATATGCATAACCATAGTAAATAAGTTGAAAAATATTATCGATTTTTTGACGAACATGTGCACTTGTATGTACTAAAGCCCAGGTGAAAGACACATGGCCGTAAACGGCCGTTTCAGTTAATATTTTTGCCATTTGGTATGTATCATATTATGGCCGTGATCAGCCATTTACGGCACGGTCAAATACGGTCGTAATACGGTGTATGCCAAAACGTCTACTTACTGCGATTTACGGTCGTAAACGACAAGAAACGATAGTATACGTTAGCGTTTTCGGTCGTGAACGATCGTTTCTAGTCACCATAATGCTCGATCTGGGAGTGAGTGAAGGCAAAACATTTAATAAGCTCAGATCAGCCTTTTACTTTTTTGAACCGTTCACAAGTATCTTGAGAACAACACATAGAAACTGAGTTCTTCGTTCTTTTTTCTCGAGCTTATAGTCATTTTATATCATTCATGTATGAACATACCTTCTTGACATTCTTTTTTTCTATTCTGATTATATTGCGACACATCCCATGTAAATAGTTTTTGCTTCGAAACGCGTCTGAAACGCGTTCCATTTGCGTGCGAAACGTACAGAAGCGAACGCGTCTAAATGCGTCTCCAGTGAAACAAACGAAGCGTTTTGACGCGGCTGAAGGTAAAATCTCGTTCAGACGCGGTTT